CCCCTTTCTCTTTCTCCTGTCTTTTTCCCTCCCTCTTCCCTGTCTCTCCCTCTCTCTCCTTCTCTCTGGCACACTGCAAAGGTCTGATGCCGGAAATAGGCCCAGGACCTGTCTTCTAAAACCCTGGCACAAGATCAGTGGTTTCCGCCAAATTCCATGCTTATGTTGAGACTTTTCAGGCCATCTCCTAGCAACCACCTTCTGTTCTCTCTCCCTTTGTGGCCCCCTCTCTCCCCACCCCTTGCCATTCAAACTTCCCCAGACACTGACTTACAAAGAGGGCTGGGAATCCCAGAGCTGCTATACTGGGGTAAATCCATCTGCAGCCCCCTCCCCCAAGACTGGAGGCTTCTTTTGGTCCTGGAATGTTAACTAGCTCTGCTGTGCCGGCTCAGCTCTGGAGTGGAGGGCTCCAGAGACTGGCCCTCAGTTCTCATCTCCTCTCCTTCCCCCTCGGCACCCAAGGCCCAAAGGAGGGTGCCATTGTTACTCCCTCCTTTTATTTGTTTAGGTTTCTTTAGTGCATATAATCAGAAGACTCGATCTTTTTTTAAGATCCACAAGCAAAACAAAACTCTTAGAGGATGAGAAAATATAGAAGAATATAATCACAAACAATGCTAGAGTGAAAACCCTTGTATTTACCTCCTCGGGGACTTGGGTGTGTTTGTCTAGGACAGAGGTTGAGAAGTGGCCTAGCTGAGTCCCAGGGCGTGTGTGTTTTATATTTACCAGGCACTGCAGAATCATTCTCAAGTAAGATTGTCCTAGTAAATGCTCCACTAGCAGTGACTGAGAGTACCCCTAGAGCTACATCCTCTCTGATACAATATAATTGATGAGTATTTAATGAAGAATATGCACATGTTTTGTTTTAGCAGATGCTGCTAAATTGACTTCAGAGTATAAATTGGCTGCTCTAATTAACACTCCCCACAGGGATATGCCTTTTCCCCAAACCCTCACTTCATATTATCAGATATATATTTTAAAATGTTTATTTATTTATTTTTGGCCACTTTTCCAAAGGGTTTGAAGATGTGACTAATTATTTTTCTCTTTACAATTGAGGATTTTGGGGGTTTTTTTCCCTTCCTGGGAAATACTTAAATCAGTTTCTTAGTCACAAAGAAGAGACTTCCCTAGTGGTTGAGCGCTTCGTGGAATTGAACAAACGTGGATTGGAAACCTGGCTGCACCACTGAGTGGCCTGTGACACTGGACAAGGCCTACCCACTCTCTGATCCTCCGCTTTTGAATCTGTAAAACGGAGACAAGAGTGTCTTTCAGTGCGGTTGTGAGACCTCCACGAAGCACCTGCAGTTCATTAAGCCCACAGTCAATGCTGGTTAATGACGTGGCATCTACACAATCCTCACCAAGGTGCTCCCTGTGAGCACTCATGTTTAATGGCTCTTTTATGAGTAGATCAAGGTGGCTGGGGGGGACTTCCCTGGTGGCGCAGTGGATGAGACTCCGCGCTCCCAATGCATGGGGCCCGAGTTCGATCCCTATTCAGGGAACTAGATCCCACTCGCGTGCCACGACTAAGGAGCCTGCATGCCACAACGAAGGACCCGGCGAGCCACAACTGAGGAGCCCTGGAGCCTCAGTTAAGGAGCCCACGTGCTACAACAAAGGAGCCTTGAGCTGCAACTAAGGAGCCCACCTGCCACAACTAACAGCCGGTGCAACCAAATTAAAAAAAAAAAAAGGCCAGCGGGGAGAAGCCCCTCCATAGCGATAGTCCCCATCTAAGTGCAAGGGAGGTTTTCATCGCAGGGCTGGGGATGGAGAGCCAAGATCTGTTCTCCCTGTTGGGAAAATCCTAAGGGAGATTTTATGTTTATCCACAGTCTCACTGAGCCAGCTAACTAGGTGTCAAATTCTCTGCTTTTGGCTGGAATTCCTCCAGCTCAGTATGGTAATACTGTCTCATGCTGATCAGAAGCCTGGCGGTTATGTATGTCTTTGAAAAGTAAAGATGGGAATGGAGATAAATTACTAATTAACAAATTCCATCCATTTGTCACACCAACTCCTTCCAACCCTGGAGTCCAAGGAGAAAGGATAATTATGAAGAGTATCACCAAAAATAAAGTCTCTTCAACAAATGGTACAGCCACCCCATTGGCTATCCATATAGAAAAAAATAAATTTTGAGTACCATGGACAAAAATTAATCTGAAATGGATCATAGAGCTAAACATAAAAGCTGAAACTATAAAACTTTTGAAAGAAACTACCAGAGAAACTCTTTGCAAAGACTTCTTAGGTGCATCATAAAAAGCACAAACCACTAAAGAGAAAAACTGATAAACTGGACTTTATCACAATCAAAGGCTTCTGTTCTTTGGAAGACACCATTTAGAAAAGGAAAAGGCAAGCCAGAGACTTGGAGAAAATATTTGCAAAGGATTCCTATCTGGAATCTATAATGAACTCTTACAACTCTGTAATAAAAAGACAGCCCAATTTTTAAATGGGCTAAAAATTCTGACACACACCTTGCAAAAGAAAATATGAATGGTCAATAAATGCAGGAAGATATTCTCAACAGGAAAGTGAAAATTTAAACCAGAACAAGATATGAGTACTCACTCAGTTGAATGACTAAATTTAAAGATTAATAATACCAAGTATAGGTGAGGAACCAGAATTCTCATAATATTACTGTGGGAACATAAAACGGTATAACCACGTGGGAAAAACATTTAATCACTTATACTTACTGTCTGACCTAGCAATTCTACTTCTAGGTATATATGTATATATATATATCTGTAATAGTCTGAATTGTGTCTCCCCAAAATTCAGATATTCAAGCTCTGACCCCAGTACCAGAGAACGACTGTTTTTGAGGACAGGGTCTTTAAAAGAGCTGGTTCAGTTAACACAGGGCTGTTAAAGTTAGGGTGGGCCCTAATCCATTGTGACTGTTCTTATAAGAAGAGGAAATTTGGACACACAGAGAGATACCAGGGACACACATACAGAGGGAAGACCACATGAGGACACAGCATGAAGGTGGCCATCTACAAGTCACAGAAGGAGCCCTCAGAGGAAACTAAACCTGCCCACACCTTGATCTTGGACTTTAAGCCTCCAGAACTGTGGGAAATAAATTGCTGTTGTTAAAGCCACCCAGTCTGTGGTATTGTGTTATGGCAGCCCTAGCAAACTAATACAACGTCCAAGAGGAGTGAAATCCTGTTTCTACACAGACTTGTAGGTGAATGTCTATAGAAGCTTTATTCATAATTTCTAAGAAATGGAAACAATCCAAATGTTTATCACCTGATGAACAAAGTATAGTCTATCCATCCAATGGAAGATTACTGAACAATAAGAAGGAGTGAACTATTGATACTATGCATCAATATGGATGAATCTCAGAAACATGATGCTGAGAGAATGAAGCCAGAGGCAAAAGAGCATATACTGTCTGATTCCATTTCTATGAAATACGAGAAAAATCAGATTGAATCTTTAGTGACAGAAAGCTGATCAGTGGTGGGCTGGGACTGGGGAGAGTTTAACCGGGAAAGGGTACAAGGGAACCTTTCAAGATAATGGAACATTCTTTATCTTGAGTGTGGTGGTGGTTACACAGGGGAATACATTGGTCAAAACTCATCAAACTATACACGAAATGCATTTTGTTATATGTAAAATATACCTCACTAAAATTGATTTTTTTTAAAAGTGTCCTCAATCCTGAAAATGCTTGGAAGCCCTGCCCTGGATGCACTTAAATGGCAGGTGAACAGATGAAAGTGGGTGCTGTGGGTAACCAAAGTGCCTTGTCATCGCAGGAGGTGCGAGGAGGGGACCAGCGAGAACGAGGCAGCAGCTGAGGAGGAGGAAGAGGGGGAAGGGGAAGAGGACGTTTTCGCTGAGAAAGCCTCACATGATATGGATGAGTGCCCAGCGCTAAAGGTAGGGAGGGCTGGGGACATGGGAAGGGCTGTCTTGGGGAACTAGCCCTCAATCCTTGAACCTGGGCAATCAGAAGAGGCTCGGGGCTAAGTCTCATGCTCCAGCATCAGGGGACAGGCCTTCAGAGTGGGATGACCTGCAGAAGGTTGTGTAGGAGTGTCCCTGCCTAGAACTGGGGTCATTTCGGTGACAGTAAGCCGGGAGAAGTTGACTCATCCCCTCGTCTCTCCTGCCCTCTGCAGTTCCCGGTTTTCTGGGCAGACCTCAGTCCTTGCAGGCAGGTGGGTCTGGGTTCAAAGGCCAGCTCTGCTCCTTCCTAGCTGTGTAGCCTTAGGCAGATGACTTCATCCCTCTCCAGCCTTGGTTTCCTCATCTCTAAAATGGACACAGTAATACCAACCTGGCAGGTGGGTTCTAAGATTTTGAGTGAATGGAATTCTCCATTTGGGTCTGCCCAAAGTGCAGTAGGAAAGAGGTTCTAGTCAAGTTCCCTTTGCCTCCTGCTTCCCTGCTGCACTAGGGTTACATGATATAACAGGCTTCACGCTCCAAAGAGACCTCCATGTTCTTTGACCTTCAGGACTCCTGGAAGTAGAGCGCCCCACTGTGTCTGAGCCGGGCACGTGGGGCTGGAGGGGCAGGTTGTGCACTGCACAAAGGTGCCTGACCCCTGGGGGCGGGGTGTAGCGGGGGTGTGAGAGGCGAACTTGGGCCTGCCTTCTGACTGCCCCGCACCGAGGGGAAGTCTTTCCGTAGTTGCTCCAGCCAAAGGGGGTGCCTTTTCCAAAATCACATGAAGGCCCTGTTTTGGTGAATCGAGGCCCTTCATTTGGGTGTTTTTCTTTACCTCTGCTGGTAACTACTGTGAAAGGACAATAGAAAACCTGATCACCTCGTTTAAATAACGAGATCTGCTGGTTGCCTCCATAACTCCATGAAAACATCTGCGGTTCTTGGCCGGGGCCGTGGAGGCCTTGGCTACGGCTTTGTTAAAATACGGTTGGTCTTGAGGGTGTGAAGTCTGGGACTTTGGTGGCTGAGGTACCTCTACTGCTTACGTGAGCTTGTTAGGGGACTGAACATCTCCCACTAGCCCCAGCCCATAGGTGTCAGGGAGGACTGGGGGCCAGTACTCGGGGCCTTGGGCGCTGTCCTGGCTGGGCTGGGGCCGCGGAAGCCCCTGGCTGTGACTGAGGACCAGAGGCAAGGTGACAGGGGTGGGGAGCAGCTGCGGAGGGTGCCCGAGACTCTGCGGATACCGGTGGCCTCACAGTTGTGACCTCTCCCTCAGGTGGACAAAGAGACCAACACGGAGACCCCGGCCCCATCTCCCACGGTGGTGCGGCCCAAGGACCGCCGGGTGGGTGCGCCATCTCCAGGGCCGTTTCTTCGAGGGAGCACCATCATCCGCTCCAAGACCTTCTCCCCGGGCCCCCAGAGCCAGTACGTGTGCCGGGTAAGCAACCATGTGGCGCTTTCCTCCCCCAGAGCACCTGCTTCTCTCCCAGTAGCCGAGAGCCCCGCTTCTCACACAGCTCTGGGTGCAAGTTCCCATTACGCTCACCTTGCGTCCTCGTCGGAGCCTGTTTCCTCATAATGTGAACAGACCGACCCTATGGGCTTGCTTTAAGGATTTGAATTAGCTAAAGCCTGGGAAAGCCTCCATAACCGATACAGGGCCAGTGATTTTCTAATTCCAGCCAGCTCCCCCCTCCTCCTTGTTTACAGCCTGCCCTGCCACACCCCTTGCTGAGATCAGACTGACCCTCACCATCCCTGATGGGCGGGCAGTTCCTCCCCTTCCAGGGCAATTGCAGCCTGCAGCCTGAGGTTACATAATAGCAACGGACCTGTTATTACTTAGTCATGGGTTTAGGGGTTTTTTCAATTGAACTTTTTGCTAACAATGAAAACTTAGGAAATTCAATTAAAAATTTTTAAAAATGAAGAGGTTTCGAATAAAATTCCACTTTCTCTTGGGAAAAAAGGGGACTGTCTGGCCCCATGGGCTACACATTCTGTCACAGACACAACTGGCTGGAGCTGAGCGGTGAGGGCCACTACCCTTGGAGGGGTGGAGGGGCAGGACTTTCAAGTTCACTGTGGCCTCCACCTGGCCCTGTTTAACCTATCTCACTTGCTGACCTGCTCTTTCAGGTCCCGCTGGATTTAGGTGCCGTGCAGTAGGCTTGGCCCCCTGACCCCTTTGCCTTGCTGTCTGATTAGTCTGCCCCGTCTGAGGGGTCATGCTGCTTGCTGGGGCTACAGAACCAAGACCCTGTTCCTGACGCCCAAATGACATGTCGACATCCTTCCTTACCTCCTACCTTCCTTACCTCCTACCATGAAGAACCAACGAGCAATAACCAGAAGCATAAACAGAACCTTCCTGCCTAGTGTGTCAATAAGTTGTCGCAGGAAAGGCCCATGGAACCTGCCCCACCTCGTCAACCTGCCACCCACCTGCCTATTGTTATTGGGGAGGGGGAGGGGATATGGGGGGGGTTCAATATCTGATATTCGGTATCTAAGGCCTCCAGTTATAAGCCTGAGTAGGGATGGTAATTTTTTCATAACATGACAATTTCACTCATTTACTGGCTACTTTTCAAATTAGTCCCCCAAAAACATTCCCTGTAATACCTCCCAGAAATAACGTAAACCTCTTCCGTCTGTGTCAAGTCTCTAGCTAATATTTGAGCTTGTAAGCATCTGAAAAGATAGTGTGAGCACCTGCAATGTAGCTGCATATCTTGCAAAAGGTACAGGATTTCCTGCAGTCACTGAATGTGATTTTTTTTTTTTTTTTTTTTGGTACGCGGCCTCTCACTGCTGTGGCCTCTCCCGTTGGGGAGCGCACGCTCCGGACGCGCAGGCTCAGCGGCCGTGGTTCACGGGCCCAGCCGCTCCGCGGCACGCGGGATCTTCCGGGACCGGGGCACGCACCCGTGTCCCCTGCATCGGCAGGCGGACTCGCAACCACTGCGCCACCAGGGAAGCCCTGAATGTGATTATAACGTGAGGGAATTCGTGAATCACAAGTGAAGAATCCTGCAATTAAGCCAGCACACGGCTGAAGAAGAGGAAAATCCAATCCACGTTTCAAATGTGAAGAACTTAGAAAAGCCCTTAGGATAATGGATAATCTGTTTCTGGCAAAATTACCGACTTTATGAACGTGCAGTGGAAATCAAACACAAAGTGAAGAATGTCGCTTGTTGGAAACATCACACCAAAAGAAATGAGTGTTTGATTCATCCTTTGTCATCAGGATTTAGAATGCAGTTGTAATTTTGTCAAATGGAAGATATGAAATGTAACTTCTGAAAAGTGTTTCTCTTTTCCAACTAAAAACTCAAACTTTTTTTCCCCGATATTTACAATAAAACTCTGGTCTCCTGTGTAAATGGATTCGCGCGTTAGGTGGCCTTTTTCAGGATTGGCATCCTTGAATAACAAAGAGCTCCGGTCCCATTTATTACGCATCTTCAGCATGCCTAGCACTATGAGGGGCCCTTCCCACGTTTAATTATCTGGACCAGTTTCCAACCCTGCAGGGCTGCAGATTAAAAAGTTCCTAGTCTGCATGGGATCACCTGCCACAGGCAGAAACAACCTTTCTGGGACTTCCCCGGCAGTCCAGTGGTTAAGACCCTGCCTTCCAATGCAGGAGGCGTGGGTTCAATCCCTGGTCAGGGAACTAAGATCCCACATGCCATGGGGTGTGGCCAAAAAAACGAAAAAAAAAAAAAAAGAAAAGAAGGGGTCTTTCTTAGCAAAGCCATATATTTTTCCTTCTTTGTTTTCTGACTACACTTGAGCCCAAGCTTATCGGTTTCTTGTAGATTCTTACTTAAGGCTGCAAGAAGTAGCCAGTGGTACAACATCCTGAATTTTTTCGCTGTCATTTCCCTTAAAACTCTATAGGCGTGCAGTCTGTCTCTCGAGATACAACAGGTAACAAGTGTATCCCTCTGGTTTTCACCCACAGAAAGAGCATTCTCAAATTCCCAATAGGGAATATTGGTGTCTGTGCTGTGCCCCATCCTACCTCCAGTACACAGCCAGCTCCCTGTCTTCCGGTCTGTGGTTTATAGCACCCCACTCCCCAGTACCAAGTCCTGTACTGGTCAGGGTTCTTAATAGCAAGCAATAGAAACAGACTGTGGGCAGTGCATGCGGGGAAGAAATGTTTGGCAAGGAAATTGAGTAGTTCACATATTCATCAGAAAGCTGTAGGACCAACCTCAGCAATCAGGCAGGAACAAGGTGGGCCAGACCACAGCCAGAATCATACCACAAAGACAGTCAAGGGAGGGCACCCCGAGTGCTGCTGTAGAGCGTGGTCCCAACTGGCTGTGCCACTGCCTCTGGGGTTCAGCACTGATTCCTCCGCCAGACTCCTACCACTGCAGGAGGCCAGGGGAGCTCCAGCCACTGCTGCTGCTGCCACTCCTCCACCACTAAGGGCTTCTCCCTGAGAAACCAAGAAACACGGATGCTCAAGGAGCAGAAGAGAATGGCCTGGTTAAATCCAAGAGGCACAGTGACAGAGAATTGGTCCAGCTAGCAAGACCAGAGCAGTTGGCACTTAATTGTCAGAGTCTAGTCCCGTGCCTGCTTCTAGCTACAAGGGAGGCCATGAAAGCAAGGCTGTGGTACTTTCTGCTTCATTCGTGAAAAGTGGGCTTCGTCTCCCACCAAGAGTCGTAAGAGGGTGGTAATTAGATTAGCAACCCCTCCCCCCCAAAAAATCCCTATTTTCCTGTGTCATCTAATGTCACGAACAGCCCTGCAAGGCATGTTGTGTTAATCCCATTTCGTATATGCAGAAAGTCAGGGCACTTTGTTCTGAATACAAGCAATCCCTTCTGGCCTGATGCCACACATCTGCACATCAAGTACCCTCTGCTGGGTATCTCCCTTCTTTGGTCCTCAGCATGGCCTGTGTCACCTGGTGAGTTTCCTGGGCTTGGGACCCCCACTGGACTTTAAATCCGTGAGGGGTAGAGATGGTATATTATACTCCCCACGGCTCTCCCCAACCCCTGTGCCTTAAACAGCTACGTATTTATCAGCAGTGCTGGCACGTGTGTTGGTCGGCTCATTTTGACCTGAAGGATACAGTTCTTCCAAAATTCTCATTTCCCTGTAGCTCCCTCTGACTGCCAGTTATTTCACCTCTCTGCTCCTCAGTTTCCCTAGCCATCGGATGGAAATAACAAAAAGGCAACGATATTCTCTACCATGTCTGAGATCAAACGCATTACAACATCTTTAAGAAAAAGTTAAATTCAAGGACTTAATGTAGCTTTCATTGCTTTTTTTTTATAACATGGTCTTTAGCACATAAACAACTACGACTCGGGATTTCCCTGGTGGCGCAGTGGATGAGACTCTGCGCTCCCAATGCAGGGGACCTGGGTTCAGTCCCTCATCGGGGAACTAGATTCCACACGCGTGCCGCAATAAGGAGCCTGTGTGCCACCACGAAGGAGCTGGCGAGCTGCAACTGAGGAGCCCGCCTGCCGCAACTGAGGAGCCCACGTGCTGCAACTGAGGAGCCCACGTGCTGCAACTAAGGAGCCTGCCTGCTGCAGCTAAGACCTGGTGCAACCAAATAAATAAATAAATATTCAAAACAAAACAAAAGAGCTGTGACGTAAGCATCAGTTGTCCTGACACATATTCTAGTTGGTATGACACATATTCTGTGAGTGTCACCTATGGATTGAAACCATGTAGGATAAATCCCCCTTCTGATATGATATCCAGCCCGTCTATTTGTATGAATCCACCCCAGTCAAGATGGTCCACCCCTCTGTCTGTATATTCGTTTCATCTCCGAGCCCTACATGCCTCCTGGGGGCCGGAAGAGGACGTGACCCTGGAGTCAAACAGACGGGACCTTGAACTCTTGTTTGGATGCTTACCAGAACATTTCACTGAACATGAATGAAATGCTTACTGCATGACTTATAAAAGTGTGTTAATGTCTCCAGGCCTCAGTTCCCTCAGTTAGGATTGTTTGAAGATGAAATGAAACTGTCAGTAAAGCCCATGGCACATAGTAGGGGCTCCGTCCATGTGGCTATTATGGTTACTGTTGCCTATTTCTCATTCTGGTTGAGCCTCTGCCTAGTGTAGTAGCTATTTCATCAACGTAGCAGGACTATTAATACCATTATCACTAATAATTATTAATAACCACAAAAATGATGATGTGGACAGCTTCTCAGAAGAGACCTGCAGCAGTGAGCTGACAGCTGCCAGAATAAACAGACTCTGTAGCATCAGCCTGTGGCGATCCCAGTGACTTGAAAATACGACTCCGGAGAGAAGCCCCTGCCTCACACATCCTGGGATGTGCTGCCATCCTCACCTCCCTCTCCGGTCCTCCCACTGGGGACACACACTGTCAGTGGAAAAGCATCTGCCTCGACCATAGCCCTGATCTCTGGCTATGGATGAGGAACATTAGCCCTCTGGGGAGAGTCCATATCACTAAGTGACTGAAGGATTCTGAGGAGGGGAGAGCTGTGATCAGCACAGCCCTCACAGAGCGTGTCTGGCCCATCTTCTCCAGGGATGTGGTCCCCGAGGCTTTGCCTGTGGGCTGCTTTTTTTATGTATATGTCAGTCTTGACAGGGGCTCCATTTCAGCCATGAAAGTGGCTCTCGGGGCAACAGGGAAGAGTTGATTCAAATAGGCCTTAGCGTAGGAGGTCAAGTGGTCAGTAGATCCTGGAGTCACACTGTCGGGTGTCAACCCCGCCATTGCTGCTGCTACCAGCTCTCCAACCTTGAGCAAATTCGGTAACCCCTAACCCTCCGTCTCCTCCCCCATGGGTTGTTGGAAGGGTTACATGAGATATCGCATGGCTGACACGTAGGGGTGTGCATCATTGAGTACACACTCAGTGTGCTTTCCGCATGCACTTAGAACCTTCATGAGCTTCCCACGCCTTTTCTCTGGCAGCTGAACCGAAGTGACAGTGACAGCTCCACCCTGTCCAAGAAGCCGCCTTTTGTTCGAAATTCCTTGGAGCGGCGCAGCGTCAGGATGAAGCGGGTAAGATGATCACCTCGGAGCTGTGTGTCCACCTGCTCCTCCCTCGTTTCCCCGAGCCATGTGTCCGGCACGCACAGCCCCTGACGTCTGACCGTTTCTCCTCAGCCACTGGTTGGAAGAAAGTCGCTCTCGCAAGCATGGGGATATTTGCAAGTGGAAGTTGATGAACTGTAAGGCCTGGGTAGGCACTGGGGAAAGTGCCAGAGGGTCCATGTAACATCGTTATTATGGCCAATAGGGTTAGATCAGGAGTGTGCATACTTTGTTTTCTTGGATAGAAATCAGAGTCACTAAGAACTAATCAACCCAAGACGTCACAGCCACCCATGGGAGCCTGCCTCAGGCAGGACTCTGTTCGGTGTGTGTCGTCTAGCTGACTGGGCAGTTGCAGGTCCTGACAGCCTCCCTGCTGGCGGAGAAGCCGGGCGCCCCCACCCCACCCCGCCCCCCATGGGCTTCTCTCAGTCCAGCTGGAAACGTGCAGGGAAGAGGCCACAAACTGCCCCCGCAGAGCAATCTGGCCTTTCCTTAACGGAGACTTGGCTGAGGGGTCAGGGTGGGGCTGTCTTAGACAATGGCCCAACTCCCAACAGGGACTTTCACCAACCAGTCGGGGCTGCAGGAGGTGCAGTGTGGCTCTCCCCACTTTGGCCTTTCAACGCAGGCTCGACAGCAGTTCTGGCGAGCTTGCAGAACTAGAAGAAACCCAGGAGCCAGAATGTCAGAAAGAGAAGCAGAGAGAGCAAAGCAAAAGAGAAAGTGCAGAGAAAGGAGAGCCTACTGACAGCCCCACGCAGGGGCGGCTGCTCCGCATATCCTGCGGGCCTGCTGCTGACAGCCCGCATGGAGAGTGGTCCTGTGCCTGTCCCCACCCCATCCCCCCACCCCCCCACCCCAGGTCTCCAGAAAGAACTAGAGAGAGCAGGAGAAAGAAGGCAGTGCAGAAGAGGCACACCCGGAAAGGAGAGAGTGCTGGCTGCCGGAGAACGTGGACATGGCCTTAAGTGACAGGCATGTCCCACCCCAGCCCCACCCCGTCTGCTGTGGCTGGCTGGTGCTGCAGTCCCTGGAGCACCAAGTCTCCCTGGGAGCTTGTTGATGATGCAGATTCTGAGGCCACACTCCCAGACTGTCTCATCCAGGCAGCTGGGGTGGGGCCCTGGAAACCGCATTTTAATAAGCTCCTCGGAGGATTCTGGAGCAGGTGTTCCGGGATCCACTCCCGGAGAAATGATGCTGCATCTGCAGAAGCTCCCGCCTGCACCCCCTGCAGTTACCTAATCATAGGAGTGATAGCCCATCATATTCACAGGTCCCACCCACACTGAAGAGGAGGGGATTACACAGGGCTTGTATGTTAGGAGGTAGGAATCTTAGGAGCCATCTTAGAACTCCATCTCCCACAGTCATTTATTCTTTTTTAATGATTAGTGTTTTCTGATAGGAGAGTTAATGATTATAGTTAATCAAGATCTTTTACATACAGATAACTGAAGAACTCAACTCAAATATAGCTTGAAAGTGAAAAAGGGAATGTATTGGCTCATTTCATGGAAAACTCTAGGTTGCTGGACTGACTTCAGGCATGGATTGATCCAGGAGCTGAACCAATGTCATCAAGCTTCAGTCCCCCCTCTCATGGCACTGCTCTCTCCAGATGGCTTAATTCTTAAACAGGGCTACCCCATATGCTGGTGAAGACGACCATGATCATTTCTAGGTTTATATCTTGCTGGCTCAGTGGCCTCTGTGTAAAGACATTGCCTTCTTTCCCAGTAGCTCAGCAAAAGTGCCAGAATTTGAGTGGTACTGCCTGGGCTTGGATAACGGGCTCACCCCTGAGGCAATCACTGAGATTCTGATTGGCCAGGTTCAGGTCACATTCCTATCCCCGAAGCCCCCCATGTGAAACAGATGGATTGACTATGGCAGATGAGTGGATCCCCAAGGGAAGATGAGGATGCTATTACTATAAGACTAGAGAAGTGGAAGTTGGACAGGCAGAAACAATAGATGTCCATTACAGGACCACAAAGTCAGTGCATGGGGAACAGACCTGCATTGAGGAAACAGCTTTAGAGCAGGATAGTGACAAGCATCCAGTAAAGGAGGGGGTAAATGTTGAGGACACTGTGAGTAGG